ATGGCAAATCAACGCTGCAAAGAAGAGTATCACGCGCACCTTCACATTTACCAGTTTCGCAAAGGCTTGGCGGTTCATGTCGCTCGTTGCGGATGAGTGCAAGGTCAAGAAGCATCATCCGAGTTGGTCGAATCTGTATAATAGGGTCGAGATCGAGTGGACTACGCATAAGCCCGAGGGACTGAGTATCAAGGATGTGGACATGGCCGAGTTCTGCGACCGGAAGGCGGCGGAGATTGGATTGAAGGAACCGGAGTGATTGAAGTGTTTGAAGATCGTAGTTGATCGACGATCGGGGGTTAGTTAATACTTCTGGGTAGAGTACTGCAGCTGCCAAATCCGACCGCTAGCGCGAAGTCTTTTAGTAAGATACTCGGTCTCGCCTCTGTGGATATCATAGCTCCGTGTCTTTCTCCTCGTCTCTGGTAGATGAAGTTCACTCGCCAGTGACAGCTCTTTGTTGGACACTTTTATTTATCTTAGCCCTTGGACAATCTTCAGCTGACACGGTTTTTCTCTACCCAGCCTGACCTGATCACTTGATTCATGCCACTCATTTCCGCTCGTCTAGCATCCGACCATCACGCCAACATCGTCAACAGCCACTCTCCAGCCTTCCTCATCCTCAACACCATCGCCCTGCACACTGACGGCAACCGAATGTCCAACGCCTCCAGGTACATCTTGCACTCGAACTTTGCCTCCCACCTTCTTCCAGCCTTCCTGTCCAGCCCCCATATGAACTGCTTCTCCACAGCTGACCTGATCCAGGAAGATCTCGACGCGCGTTTGCCCATTCGGTCTCCTTCCTGTAACCCATGCGTAGCAATCGACTGTCGCACCAACAGGAAGATTAATGTAAGACTGCGACAACGTGAGTGTAGCTTGGACCGCTGAGCTGTTCGATGTCGCGGCGTAGAGATTATTGCCGGAGTGTCCGCCTGTAGGGGAGGTCGATATCCCGCGCGAGTACCACGAACCGGTCACCATATCCATCCACGGAGACAGCACAGGGATCTCGAATGAGGGATTGGCAATGGCATTCGTGCAGCGCTTGGTAGAGGGCGCTTGCCGTGGTGACGATAGTGGACTGGCTTGCGCGGTCGCGAAGGTGAGAATGGCGCACACAATGAAGAGTAAGAATTCTCGGAGAGACATGATGACGTATTATCGATGTTCGGTATGGTCGCACAACTGGGCGATTTTGCAGACTTAAGTCGCTTTTTTGAACGTGATCCAAACTGATGGAATGCTCAGCTTCGTGTAAGCTACAAGTAGCTGAAGCAGCTGAGCCGAGGCGGTCACGAGTGAGACCTGACGAGAAGCCGCGTGTGACGTGAGCTAGAGCTTGCTACCAGCGCACTTGGACTTGAATTGTTCCGAGTCGGTAAGATCGGTCTTTAGACTGTGATGTGGAGATTTCGTATATGCTGTGTGTGACGTGGACGGGTACGTGAGCTCGCAATGTTACTGGTAGTGAGAAAGAAGAGAGTGTGAGGGTTATGTAGCAGCTGAAATCTGGGCGTGAATGTGTGCAGAGCAGAATGTGGGTATCATGTGACCAAGGCGCAGTGAATACCTAGGTATCAGGTGTAGGGCCGACGAAGGTGAAGGCAGAGGTAAAGGTAAGGAATGCGCAAAAGACATCGACCCCTACCATGACCATATACAATCGCAGACTCGCGTTGCATAGTTCAACGCAAAAAGCACACTCCAGGCTGTGATCATGTCGAACAAGCTTCAGCTGTCAGGGTCAAAACCTGATCGAAAGGAGCTAACCCGCCACGCCACATTGTTATCGACTGGAATGCGCAATGGTCAACACGTAGAAGCTGTCCTTGGTGTTGTTGTTGACAGGGTTGGACGGTTGGTAAGAGGCAAAGGTGGCGTACGCATAAGCGAAATTCACGGGGCCGTTGCGCATCGACTTGGCACCACTCCCTATCGCAGTACGATTCAATTCCACTGTCGCGCCATGTTACAAGCCAGAAGTTGCTCCAGATGTCGGACATTTAATAACGAATGATAGACATGCGGCTGATTATTGGCGAGTGTGAGAAGCTTTGGTCAGGATTCTCCGAGCCTATGGGACCGTCATCCACCGTTTTCTGACAGGGACTGGGTTGCTAGAAGCGAAACGGAAAGGAGATCTAGATTGCGAAAGAAGGAAAGGAGGAGCAGTGAACTTTGTCTGAACTTTGTCGGATTTATGTGATTGGATCTTTGTTAGCCCATGGAGATTTCACGCTCCTGGGCCCTGCTCATAGCGGCGTACTTTTGGGGTATATGGCGAGCCATCGAAATCAACCTGTGCGGTTGTCGAAGGCCAGCTGGTACGCTTCTGTCGCATACTGATGCAGTTGTAATGTCCGCCTCAAACGCCGACCGTGCAAACCGTAGCCTCATGTCGTCATACTATAAATCGTGTCGCTCATGCGGGCTGTTCGTATGCCCTCTTGATGACCCTCGCGAATTCTGATAGGCTTGTTAGCAGCGACTCGACGTTTGTGGTGCTGGTGTACTTACGATCGAACTTGACGTTCTCACGGACAACGGTGCCCTTAGCCTCGTTGTCCTTGTTGATGGGCACCTTGATCTTGGCACCATCGATGTTCCACCCGCAAACGCTTCCGACGAAGTTGTCGAACTCGCTTCCAGAGAGGTTCAACCACGACTCGAGGATGCTGCGGTCAACCTCGCGCACCGCCTGGCTGACGGTTGCAGCGATGCGTACGCGCATCAGCTCCTCAAACCCTGAGACATCGGCAATCAAGTCGGCGTACAGGTCGTCGGAGTCTAGTGTGGACCAGAAGGTAGAGTAGTCGGCACCTTCAAGCAAATTCCTCAGCTCGTTGAGCTTCTGGACAGCTTCTGATAGCGGCGCGTCGCCAGCAGCTGGGTTGTGTAATGAAGATGAAAGAGGAGCTAGGACGTGTGGAGGGAGGAGGGAGAGACCCAGGGAGAAGTCGGGGCTAGGGAAGACGGTGAGAGCCTTGACGAGGATGTTGGTAATGGTCTCGTCACGGGCCAGGTGTGGGTTGAATTGGTAGCTGGAGCATCGTGGTTAGCAGATGTAACGATGATGCTTGAAGTACAATGGTAGTCGGGAGAAAGCTGTCAGATAGAGCTAATAATAAACTTCAGCGGGGGAGTGATTCATGCTCCATCCCTCGGGTAATAGGAAACGTTGTGGTTGTTTATTCATCTTGTAGCATAGGAGGAAGAGTCGGGGGGACACGTACAGCTTCAACAGGGCGAGGTTGGCGTAGCAGTCGTACGTCTGGTTCTCGCACTGCTGCATGACATAGTCCTGGAAGACACCCGTCGTCTCTGGGTTGTAGCGATCCAGTCCATCGAGGATCTGCTGCATGTGATCCGGCCGCTCAGGCGCGAAGTCGAAAGGGGCGCCCATGGTGGTTGTGTGGATGAGCGACGAAGAGTTGGTGTTGCAGGCTTGGTCAAATTCGCTCAGTGCGACAAAAGGCGCATTGGCCACCGAGCAGCCCCGCGTCATATTCAAAAAAGTTAGACCCCGCCAAACAGTCGACTGTGGAAATATACACAAGAACAACCAGAATGGCGCCCTATGACAGTGATTCTTCAGACGATGGAGGCGACTACACCGAGACGAATGTTCTGCTAGGATATGCAGCGAGGGAAGCAACGGGCGACGCGATTTCCCACATTGGAGGCGCACCGGTACGCATATCATCAACCACGCCGAGCGTCTTTCTGACGATCATAGTAGAGCTGGATAGATGAGAAGACCGCCCCTTCTGGCGCCTTAGCAAAATGCAAAGTCTGCAATGGCTACCTCAGCCTCCTCCTCGAACTTAACGGCGATCTTCCCGACAACTTTCCTGGCCACGAGCGGCGACTTTACATCTGGACATGTCGGCGCAAGCCGTGTAGAAGAAAGGAGGGCAGTGTAAGGGGCATTCGCGGAGTGCGCATCGCAAAAGGCGCCAACAATAAGGCCAGCGCCCCCAAACTTGAGAAGAAGGAAGTCAAAGAAGAGAAGCCGCAGCCCAAGATTGGCGAGTCGCTGTTCGGAGTGAAGAACGGGACAGGCGCATCGACATCCGCGAACCCCTTCTCGAACCCGTTTTCGTCTAATCCAAGTGGCGCAGCATCATCAAACCCCTTCTCCAAACCAGGTGCCAATCCCTTCGGCGCATCGACCCCCACGCCCGCAGTGCAAGTCAGCGAGCCCCAAGAGAAGAAAGACGAAGCCTCTACGACCCTCCCCGAGACATTTGCGTCCAAAGTTCGTCTCTCGTCACCACCTCCCTCTGAACAACAACCCCCGCGCCCACATGAGCCATGGCCAGCAGACTCAGCCTTTCCTACACCATTCCCTCACTATCACCTCGACGCCGAATACGAGACATTAGACGCCCCCTCAACACCCTCGATCCCAGCGAACGTGCGGATGGACACAGATAATGAAGGAAGCGGCAGCGGTGGTGGAAAAGAAGACAAGGAGGTGTTCGAGTCATCCATGGACCGGACGTTCCAGAAGTTCGCAGATCGCATCGGCGAGAATGCAGAGCAGGTGCTACGATATGAGTACAAAGGCAAGCCGCTCCTGTACAGCGACAACGATGCTATCGGCAAGCTTTTGGGTCCACACTCAGAGAATGGTTCCTCGTCGAACACAAAAGTCAAGACAGCAGGCTCACGGAGTGGGGCTGGGTTTCCTCGCTGTTCGACCTGTGGCGCGGACCGAGTCTTCGAGGTTCAGCTAACACCACATGCGATCACCGAGCTTGAGGCTGATGAGATGAGTCTCGACGGCATGGAATGGGGCACCATCATCATGGCTGTGTGCAGCAAAGACTGCAAACCCAACGATGTTCAGGAAGGAGAAGTCGGATATGTGGAGGAATGGGTCGGAGTACAGTGGGAGGAGGTGCCTTCGGGTAAGTAAGATAAGGATCATATACGATACCAGAGTTGTTTGATTGGAATAAACGATTCAATACCCGACCTCACATTTTTCAAGCTGCTGTGGCTGCCGTAGCTGGCGCAGCTACCCTCGTGATCTGATCACCAGCCCTGACGACGCCGAGACCTTTGGTGTCTCTGGTGTCCTTCTCACCACCTGTTTTCCAAACTTCAACTTCCTGTCCGCCTCGCAATATGCCAACACGCATTGTCGACAGCAAATTATGTGCCGCGTTCGAATGTTCATATACACCACCGTTGAACACCGCAGTAGCGTCCTTTCCGACCGCACTCTTAATCAGAGTCTTGCCGCCAGGGTGGTCAGCGATAAACGGCGAAACGTCATGAATCACTCCAGCAATAGCCACCAAAGCAGCACCCTTGGCTGAAGCCTGAGTCTGAAAGTCGTCCCAACTAATGACTGGCAACTGAGCCAGTGGCACACCCCAATCGAGCATCGATCGTTTCTTGTCGAGAGCCTTTTGTTGCTGTTGGAGTCTACCTTTCTCAATTTCATTCGAGCGGAAAGTCTTCAAGTCGTACGTGAGCGGAAACACCGGAATCTTCGACATGATCCAGATAAGCCATTTAGTAGGGTCGTATTGGTACCAAGCAATCGCATTCCCTTTCAAGCATCAGTATCGTCATGGCTCCCATAGTTCAAAAGATGCAGCAACTTACGGTAATCTGACGGAAATTCATGATGGAAGTTATGATACCCCTCCCCCATCGTCACCAACGCAGTAAACACATGATCCCTCGGGCTTCTCCGATCATCAAACGGCTGCTCGCCAATCCAATGCGCAAGACTATTCACACAAAACGTAGCCTGTTGCACGAAACACGCCCGTATAATACCCGCGTACACAAACCCGCCCCACCAGTCGCCCCAGCCCATGCCAGCAACCATGGCAGGAAAGATCCAGGCTGTAAACAGAAGCAGCTTACCGTAATGCTTATGTTGGAATACGACAATGGGATCGCTATCCAGATCAGAAATATCCGTCCGTCCTTTAACTTTCGGATCGTTGTTCAACACCATCCATCCGATGTGCGAGAATAAGAGTCCGCGCATAACCGAGTAGGGATCTTTCATCGTATCCGTCCACCGGTGGTGAGCACGGTGATTAGCGCTCCACCACCGTATGCTGCCTTGAATTGCTCCTGCTCCTGTGAAGGCGAGGAATAAGCGTAGGGGAAGGCGTGCGGAATAGCATCGGTGGCTCCATAGTCTGTGGTATCCGCCTGTGATGCCGAAGGCGGTTGTGGCGTAGTAGACAATACTCCATAGAAATGTTGGGAGGGTGAGGGTTGTGGAGCGGGCGAGGTAGAGACCGTAGCTTGGGATTAGGATGACGAGGGTTGTGTTGAGCCAGTTTATCTTCTTGTACCAGTTCGTCCAGGTGATGGGTTGGGAGGATATGTGCGGTTCCTTTTCTGGTGGGGTGCTGGTAGCAGCCATCGTAGCGTCCTGGTAGTTGAATACCCCCACACACACGAAAGCAGGTCAGAAAGACGAAATTGATGAAGCGGTTTACTACCTCAAAGTACTATAGCCTCGTATATGTACCTCCACCCACGTTTCTACCCGGAACATACCGAATACACCAGTCGCCTGTCAGCCTAAAAAAACGCAGGGCCACCTGCGCCTTGCATGCCCAGGTGCTTGCTAGAAGAGAAAACGTGGTTCTAACGTGGTTCCCACGCTTTCCAGCCCCATCATCGGCAAAAACAAACGTGCGTAACGGCGAGACGGTCGTGCCAAACCCTCCGACCCGGATTCCACGGGCGTCGTGCGCACATCTGCGTGATGCGCGTGATTGGTTGGAGGGGGTTGGTGGTGGGTGGTTGATGAAGTTTACAATGCCGGGTTTGGTTTAGTGGCATGCAGGAATCTGGCTGTTCTTCGGTGGTTTGATGACTAACCTGGTTTGGGTGAGGGATGCGAGGTCGGGAGTGGGATGCGAGCGGCTTGGCGGAGACGACAGGACACATTTCGAGAGTTTGGAAGGCGCGACGTTTCTGCCTATTTGTCGCGTGCGTGTGGTTGTTATTCTTCATCCTGTGTGTACCTGCGAGTTCTGTGTTATGAAGACTGAATACACTACTCATGGGGCTCACGTTTGCTGACCTTGCGAATGCATCTGACACCTGCTTGCGTAGTTGCGCGTAAGTTCATTACATTTTCAAATACCCTTTAATTGTCCTGAACCCAAGCCGCATCTATTCCATAACCAGGATTCTCATAGCTGCGAAGGTCTCTTGCATTGATTGCACGCATGACCCCAAACCATCGCCAATGACCATGCTGATCGGAATCGATATTCCCCTGCTCAACTGTTCAGGCTCTCATTCCCAGTGGTGTCATCGACCTCGTCAATATCTGCCTCGTCCTGTTCGATATATCCTTCATAGCTCATGAAGCTCAAGACTTCTTCATCATTGCGAGCCATTGTCCTCTCCCTTAAACGAAGGCGAAAATCCTTCCTAATCTCTTTCGGAGTTTCTTCCCATTCGGTTGCCGTGTGTATATTCTGGAGCATACACAAGTCAATGAAGCATTTTCGAAGAATGCAGGGACCATTGGTATTCTCGTATACACGGAGAAGGAGCTTGTGGCGAGACGCATCTGTCATGTTCAGGCTGCACTTGACGATCTTCTCGCGCACAGCTTTCGCGAACTCGCTATCTTCTACGAAGTCGCCCACTATATGCGCGTTGATCAGCCGGATGCAACGAAGTTCATCATCTCCTTCGTCCGCGTCGTAGGTTGGAAGGCTGGATCCGTAGAGCCACTGAATGTACATATGGAACCCATCGGCACTGAGATCTTCAAGATTCATGCACAAAAATTCCAACGGCGCGACCCACTTCGTGCGACATGTAGGGCACGTGGGTTTGGTTTTGTACCATTTGCCCAAGCAGTGTTCATGAAGGTTGTTCCCACATGTCTCGCAGGATATCAAGTCTGCGCCCGCCGCATCGAGGGTTTCGTGGCATATGACACACTCGCCTTCGATGTCTTTTGTTACTTTCTGGATTAAGTTCTTGAAGTAAACCGAATGCTTGCAAAGCAAGTCTGCATGCACCGAGAATTTGCGGCGCGATGAGCCTACGTATAGACGGAGGGTTCTGTAACCTAACCTTTACAATGTGTTAGCTCTCGTGGCAAGTAAGTGGATACGGGCTGCCTACAGAAGGGGTTGTCGCTTCTTCGCCTTTCTGACCGCGCCGCGATTCTTAGTGACGGTCATCGGTTATTGCGTTGTGAGATATTGGTCGATCGAGATAGCAGCTTCGCAATTTGAGCAGAGATCATAAGTGTTCGGAAGCCGTTAAAATGCTGCAAAGCTCATAATGTTGGGCCAAAGGGGAGGCCGTCGTTGAAAAGAAATAAGGGTGAGGGATGGCGAGGTCAAATCTGGACTGCGGCTTTGGTTGATGCTCGAAGTCTCCGATAATCGCGAAATATTGCTTTCGAGAGTACCCTCGTGTATGTAATGACTGTGTGTTGCTGGGTCGTGAGTGGCTCGCTACTCGGTTCGGGATGTCGCATTACCAGTAGATGAAGTGGATGGAACCAAACAACGGTATCGCACACATATGCGAGTTAGCTGACGAGTAATACATAACGTATGTGATAATGTCTGAGTTCCAGGTTGTAGAATAGTGTCTGCATCTGTCCTCAGATGCTTGGAGAACTCAATCACACTCTCAAAGTTCCATGCAGATACCACCCTCCTCGATGTGTTCACGAACCAAGCACGCCCACAGTAGGTTGGCACGACTCTTCTTTTTTTGGGGGGCAGATACACCGGGCTCATGTTCACTGCACGGAATACTCCAAGCCAAGTTGATGAGATCCTGATGCCATTGGATAGTAGTGATGTCGTTGGCGGAGGTTTTGGATCACCCCACTCATCCAACTCCGATTTTGACCATCGCCGCAAAAGAAAGCTATAAGTCGTCTGAGCTGAAGCATCGTTGGATCATGTATCCGCGCCGAAGACCTAGCAGTAGTAGTCTTTGCACCACGGCGCTTCATCGGACATCAGACTGCCAGTCTTTACGGATGTGGTAATCGTCTTCGGCCAGTTTTCGCCGGCAGCTCCAATTTTGCTACAGTGCCGCGAACGAAGCTCCTTTGCTCACAAAAGCGGGTTCCTGGCGCAGTAGTCTTGGAGTCATTACAATGCGAGAACGTCAAAGTGGACACCATCATGACTGTATTCACATATCAATACGAGCATGACATGCTGACAGCCGCGGGTGCTTGGCGCCACCACAAAGTGAGGCGCATGCATGTTCCCGCGTCTGAAGACATGTAGGCACCCCACCATTCGCTCGCAAGAAAAGCTGTTTCGATAGTAGCTTAGCGCCAGGGCTGATGACGACTGCAGTGAACTCGGTGTCGCAGTGGCAAACATCATGGTGAAGAATTGAAGAAGAGTTGATACCGCTAAGGGCGACCAAGAGCGGCGATCACAAGTTGCGCACGTCTCACAGCGGGGCGAAGCAGTGAAATAGCTGCCGTGATAGCCGTCTCGTGTGCGTGATGTAATTGCGGACGGTTCCTGGAGATCGCGTCCCAGGGTCCGATCGGCGACTGCAGGGTGCCTTCACCCATCGAATGCGATGTCGACGCAGCGAGTGACAGTGGACGAAACATGGGATGCGTCGTAGAAGTGCGTATTTGCGTATAGCAGAACCGCTAATAGACGTTCGACTCGGGGTGGGCACGGACTTCTCCACCTCCCGTTAGTGTGAGGGTCTCTAGCACAGCCCGCTGGTATGGCTGCAGGTGCCGGGCAGCCGTGCTCCCAGTGACGCGGGCCTCAGTACAATCACTTTCTCACGTCGCTCAATTGTCCATCACCATCGGGCCATGTTGAGCGCTGCCTGTCGCGACTACTTGTTCCCCCCACCGCTGTAAAGAAAAGCCACGAAGAATGCGGCGGTCATGGACAGGAAGGCCCTCTTCTTCCCGTGGTAAGCACAGTCCTAGGCTACCAGCAGCACACCAGCTGACAAGACAATAGCGGCCTCGTCCTAGCATCCGGGTACCTGAGCACTGCAACCCCCGTCGACTACTCCTTCGCCTTCGACAAGCCGCTGCACACCGTCGCCATCGTCCTGCTGCTGACTGGCCTCGCCGTTGTCGCAATTGAAGCCTGGTCGTCGCGCAGTGCACAGCCGCAACCGCATACAAGATATATCGCCATAGCCCTGAACCAGGTGCAGAGCAGACCGGCAGCCGAAGAGATATGGACAGAGGCAGGCCAGCCAGGTCGGCGGAGAGGATGGAGCGTCCGGGCTGTCGGCGCGCTGTTGGCCGTCCTGCTGTTCGCGATATGCGGGCGCATAGCCATCTTCTACCGCGTCACCAAGGACGTCGAGTGCAGCGGCCCCTCTGCATTGGTGCGCAAACCCCTCCCATTGCGCCAACAGTACTGACTGATCTAGTCATTCCTTCCCCTCGTCGCTGCCCTCTACCACAGCATTCGGCACCCCAGTCAGCGACAATACCCCGCCTGGAGTGCTGACACGCGCCCGCGTACCCAGCTCGACCGCGTCTACAGCTTCATCTTCGACGGCTCCACGCGATACATCATTCCCTCTTTCCTGCTCTCTGTCAGCAGCTTCCTTGTCATCATCAAGTCCAGCTCGCTGCGCTCCAACTACATCTGCCCCACTGCAGACTCGACTGCAACCGCAATTCCTTTCCTTCAGTTCCTCGGCTTCTTGCTGGACTGCGTCATCGTCCAGATAGCATACCGTCTGATCGACGATGGCATCTCTGAGGCGGACGACTGGACCATCCACCTTCCAGATGGCACCTCGAATCACCTCCTTGTCGGCTTGACACTTACTGTACGTCAATCGCCTTCATGCACCATTACACATCTGACACTGAACAGGCATCTTCTTTGGTCCTTCTCGTCGCCGGCATTATCATATACCCCGCAATGCCTGAGCATCGCGAGTGGATGCTCTCGTTTCCGTCTGAATATCTCCTTGGTCTTTTGCGTTTATCGTTGATGATACCCTTTATGACGTTATGTTTCCTCAAATCGGTACGTTACTACATCCCGTCTGGTACTCTGTCGCTGACCTCCTAGGCTCGATTGTATGGCGTTATGAGCGCTTTGCTCCTTGGTGCATTTTCCTCTGCATACATTGGCGTTCTCCGTGCTCTGGGCACTGGCGTGTCCTATTCGTTCCCACCAAAATCCACCGTCGGACTTGTTTTGTGTTTGACTCTGCTCACCATTGCGCTCATCCTCTACCTCGTCACAGACACCAGCATCGAAACCCGCATACGATCCAAAGTACCCATCCGCCTGGGCAGGAACCAGTCAGCCGGATTCATCGTACTTCTCATCGCCTTCTCCATCGGTGTTGTCGTATACCGTCGGCACGGTCCCGTTCTCGAACATCCCATTACCACCTTGATCGATATTG